CCCCCCCCCCCCTTTTTCCTTCTCTTCCTTCCTTCCTTCCCCACATCCTTCCTTCCTGTTTTTGCATTTCCTTCCTTCCTTAAAAGGTTTTTTCTTCTTTTTATTCAGCAATTATGAAATATCACAAAAGGCTTTTTCATATTTATCCAATGCAGCCAGCAGGTGGCACATGTGAGCCTCGTACTCACGCTTTTTATATGGTATGTTTATGTTTATTACTTTACTGAAAATAGACAGGAGTCAGAACTCGGAATAGATCCAGCCAGCGGGATATCATATCACACGCACCTGAATAACATGAATGCTTATTAGACTAAGGTCACTACAGTTAGTTCAGAGTTCAAGGACAGGTTCATTTGACCTGCATCTAACCTCCTCCTGACCTGCATCTAACCTCCTCCTGACCTGCATCTAACCTCCTTCTGACCTGCATCTAACCTCCTTCTGACCTGCATCTAACCTCCTTCTGACCTGCATTATACCTCCTGACCTGCATTATACCTCCTTCTGACCTGCATTATACCTCCTGACCTGCATTATACCTCCTTCTGACCTGCATCTAACCTCCTCCTGACCTGCATCTACCCTCCTTCTGACCTGCATTTTACCTCCTTCTGACCTGCATCTTACCTCCTCCTGACCTGCATTATACCTCCTGACCTGCATTATACCTCCTTCTGATCTGCATCTAACCTCCTCCTGACCTGCATCTAACCACCTTCTGACCTGCATCTAACCTCCTTCTGACCTGCATTATACCTCCTGACCTGCATTATACCTCCTTCTGACCTGCATTATACCTCCTGACCTGCATTATACCTCCTTCTGACCTGCATCTAACCTCCTTCTGACCTGCATCTAACCTCCTTCTGACCTGCATCTAACCTCCTTCTGACCTGCATCTAACCTCCTTCTGACCTGCATTTTACCTCCTTCTGACCTGCATCTTACCTCCTCCTGACCTGCATTATACCTCCTGACCTGCATTATACCTCCTTCTGATCTGCATCTAACCTCCTCCTGACCTGCATCTAACCACCTTCTGACCTGCATCTAACCTCCTTCTGACCTGCATTATACCTCCTGACCTGCATTATACCTCCTTCTGACCTGCATCTAACCTCCTTCTGACCTGCATCTAACCTCCTGACCTGCATTATACCTCCTTCTGACATGCATCTAACCTCCTTCTGACCTGCATTTTACCTCCTTCTGACCTGCATCTAACCTCCTTCTGACATGCATCTAACCTCCTGACCTGCATTATACCTCCTTCTGACATGCATCTAACCTCCTTCTGACCTGAATTATACCTCCTTCTGACCTGCATCTAACCTCCTTCTGACATGCATCTAACCTCCTTCTGACCTGCATTTTACCTCCTTCTGACCTGCATCTAACCTCCTTCTGACCTGCATTTTACCACTTCAAGTGAGTTTTGCATTCCTATAGACTTGTATGGGGAGAAACAAACAACAGCCCATCAACAAACACCTTTACGTGAGACCTATCTATAATAATGCATACACATGTGTCAGTAAATCCATTATTAAGAAGATGAACCTTAGATTTCCAGCCGAGCTGCATGTTGAAGCATTCTGTAGTGTATATGGAAGCATAGGATCTGCATTGCTGGATATTTCATGGGATCTGTTTCAGGTTCAATGTATCTTCATAAGGGCTCCATTCTGCAAGCACCTTCATACGGGCTTTGCATTGTGCTGAGTCGCTTTGGAATATGACTGGAGCCCAACTCCAGGGAAATTAAATGTTGTTCATTGCAGTGGGACTGACTGCCCCCGCACTGCAAGGGCTAACTGCTTGTTTATACCTATGAAGGGTCAACCCTAGTATTTTTGCCGCCGGAGGTGGCATGGGAAGGGGGAGCTTGGAGTGTGGGGGGGATACTGGTGGTGTATGCTAAGGGGGGTATCTTTTGCTTCTTCTCCCAGCACACCTCTAGCCTGTGTCCTGCCCTGCTCCAGGAGCTGGGCAGGATGCCAGCCAGAGTGTCATGCTCAGCTCCTGCCAACCAGTGATGTCATTGGTTGCCAGAAGCTGAGCGGGACACCGGCCAGAGCATCCCAGGTTGTTAAGCCCTTAGCCCTTGTCCCTTACACATCTCCCCTCCTGGCTCTTAGCAACCTGGGACGCAGTGGCCAGAAAGGGGGCGGCAGACACACTGCAAACATTGTGCAGCAGATGTTATACTTACCTGATCCCCGCTCCCCCAGCAGTCAGGGCTCTCCTCTCCTCCCGCTCTGACTGTAGACTCTCCCTCAACGTCATCAGGCACAATTCAAGGCTATGGAGCCTGCATTGTACTTGATTACATCAACGGTCCTTAGACCGCCGGAGGGAAGGGGAGCAGAGGCTGCTAAGATCGATCTAGAAGCCCGGAGAGAGCCAGCAGGAGCGAGGATCAGGTAAATAAATAAATAATGTCCAGGTTTTACAATCAGTGTGCTACCTTGCAGCAATGCACATTGTACCGCAATGCTCGGTAACGCTCAAACTACAATGTGGTGCCATTAAAGTTGAAAGGCATCCCAACATAATGTTATTTTAGCAGGCTAAAATACTGCAACAGATTGCACATGCTTGCCCACTTCCAGTAAGCTATAGAGAGGGACCCTTGCTCTCTGTGTGGAAGCAGAGGTCTCTTTGCAGAGGTCCAACACCCCATAACCACCACTGCTGAGTCAGAACTAAAGCTCCCCAATAAGCAGTTCTCCAGGGTCTTTGTCACAGAGTGGTGTTTGCACACGTGTACTTGTCACTTGTCAATGATGGTGAATTCATATCATACCCGAGATATGGGCTGGTTGACGTACAGCCACCCCGTCGTGCTGTTAATCTGGAAGAACAGAAGCTCGTCACCCGCCAAGGAGTAGGTAAGTGCCGCATTTGGGCCGTAGTCTTCATCGTGGGCGGCAATACGCAGGAAACTTGTTCCGACTGGCGCGTCCTCCCTTAAGAAATCTGTTGGATGGATTGAAGAAACATGATACAAAAATAATTGTGATAGAGAGTCATAGTCTCAGTGCCCGGGGATTCACTTACACTCGTAGCGGTTGTTTTCGAAGCTTGGGTCGTTGTCATTCTGGTCCAGGATGGCAATGTTTATCTGACAGAGGCTGATGAGGGGGTCACTGGCCTGGTCGGTGGCCTTGATGGTCAGCGGATACTCTTTATCCTTCTCCCGGTCGAATGTTTGAAGTGTGGTTATAATTCCTACAGGGAAGATAAAAACAGCAGCTAGAGGGGACGCTATCAATTCGCTGCCGCTGGTCCAACCACAATTGCTACTTAAAATGACCTGCCCGTCTTGACCAATCATTAGACATGTGCACTGGCAAAAAATTTGTTTCGTTTCGTTTCGTTTTAATTAGGATTTTGTGTTATTTTTCGTTTTTCAGATTTGGGTGTGAAAGTCGATTCGGAATTTGAAATTCGTTAGCGGTAGTTCGTTCGAACGTTCTTTTAGTTTCGTTCATTCGTTCGTTGCAGCAAAGTGACATTTGAGGGGGAAAAATGTTTTTCTCCTTCTCTAATGTCACTTCGCTGCAACGAACGAACGAAACGACTAAGAAACTAAAACGAAACGAATGTTCGAACGAACTACCGCTAACGAATTTCGGAAATGGAAATTCGGATTCGTTTGCATTCGTTATATCTGTAATTCGGAATTCAGATACATCCGAATGTCCGAAAATTCGTCCGAATTTCGTTTCGGAACGAAACGAATCGCACATGTATATCAATCATAGTTAAAGGAAAATTCCATACAGGACGCCCCCAGAAATCGAATTGCTTGTGTGACTGGCTACAGAGATGAGTGAGGACTTTTAAAGCTTGTTCACACCAAGCCCGTGCAGTGCATAGACATAGTATGGGCAAAGGTTTACTTTAAAGGACCACAAATGGTCCTCCTAAGAGGTGTTCACTTCAATTCCTTTTCCCTACCTGTATCAGGGTGGATGGTGAACGCAGGTAAGTATCCCTCTCTGTGCACGATCCCATATTTCACTTGCCCATTCACTCCGCTGTCAGCGTCTTTTGCATCCACTTGAAGCACAAACGTCCCTGGAGGCTGGTTTTCTAGAATGGAGGCATTCTTGCTGTACTCGGCACACTGCAAAGAGAAATTGGTTGAATGTGATTATTTACAAAGCTATCAGCACATTAAAATGATTGTTTGATAAGAGGGCTACCACTGATAATTGGGGGCTGTGAAGTATAATGAGCAGTTACGTGTTTGGAGACTCCCTGGAGGTTATTTTATTGGTTTTGGAAAGAGTGTGGATGGATTATAACCTCTCCTGAGATTTTTTTCACTTCATGTTACTAACATAGGAGACCTCCCAAAGACCACACACTCTTTATGAGTTCCCATTGAGAAGATTATCCCTAAAGTGCACCTGTCCTTTGTCCAAGCAGAGCAAAACAACAAGTTCACTTTAATGGGCTCCTCCATCATCACATATTCACTTTCTTTTGCCACCCCTGTTGCTCCTTTCAGCTGATAGGAACGAAAAGAAATATCCACTGCTTCCTGGTATGAGGGAGCACATGACTCATCCCTCGTGTTGGTGTTTAGTGATTGACCACAAAAAATTGTGCTCCTGGTGACCCAGGTTGCTAAGAGCCAGGCGGGGAGATGTGTAATGGACATACAAATCTCCCTACCTGGCTCTTAGCAACCTATGATGCTCTGGCCGGCGTCCCACCCAGCTCCTGGCAACCAGTGACATCACCGATTGCTAGGAGCTGGGTGGGACGCCGGCCAGGGCATCCAGCCTGTATACACATCTTCCCACCTGCTCTGGTTGCTAAGAGCCAAGTGGGGGGAGATGTGTAAGGGCCCATCACATCTCCCTGCCCTGCTCTTAGCAACCTGGGATGGTCTAGCCAACATCCCGCCCAGCTCCTGGCAACCAGTGATATCACTGGTTGCCAGGAGCTAGGCAGGATGTCGGCCAGAATGTCCCTGGTTGCTAAGAGCTGGGCAGGGAGATGTATATGGGAGAGGGGTGGTGAAAGAAAAAAGGCAGCTGTCTTCATGGTTTGGGGAACTTTCACTGATCCACGGAGCCACACCCGCTTCAAGTGGCGCCCAGGGCATGCGCCATATATGCTATACCCTGGATACGCCACTGCACTCATCAAAGTCACATGCGGAAGACAGGTCCTCAGCCGTGTGGAAGCTCCAGTTTGTGACTTGAATATATGCTGATTGGTGAATAGTGAAAAAAGGTAACTCAGACACACCTGATGAAAAATGGGCTTATTATTATTAATATCATCCACTCGAACAATGACTGTGGCCGTGCTGGTAAGGCTGTGCGGACCGCCAGAGGCGTTGTCATCTGCCGCTGTCACATACAAAATGTACTCAGTCCCATGGAGTTGGGGAAGAGGACTTGGACCAAGGCGAATAAGACCTGTTAGTGAACAGATGATAAAATGAATAGTTACGTTCTTACATTCAATATTACATTTATATCTTAAATACCAATAAGCTAAATTAAGAGTTTTCAATTTCCTGAATCTTTGCTAAAAAAATGGGAGATGTGAACAGAATTTTGCTATTCTGAAGGTAATGGAGTGGCCGAAATTAAGTTTTTTTTTTTATTTTAAGGCTGCAATGAGCTTTCAATAGTTACCGAAAGTTGCAAAAGCTCCTTTCAAAAATCCTCAACTTGTTCCTGTGACACAAAAAGCTCCCTCATTAGCTTTATTATTTTTTTTTCATAGAAAAAATAAAACAGAGCATAAAAGTGTAAGTAAAAAAAATGTAAAGCGACACAAATAATCAAATACACAAATAAAAAAGTGAAAAAAAAACAAATACTAAGAACACTAAAATAAACTAAATGGAAATAAATACTGAACCTTCAGAAAATATTTTGTTTTTCAAACATATTTGATCAAAACGCATTATTATATACATATAAAAGGAGATTTATATCTTTTATCTTTACTCTTCTCCTGGGGTCTTAATACACTACAGAATATAGAAAGAAACTTGTTGCACTCCTTACCGGATGCCCCAACAACAGGGGAGGGTGCTTGCAGTAACTGCGGATGGCACCGCTGGTTACAGGTATCAATTGAAGAAATGTCACCAGCACACCAAAAATTCTTTCAGGATAACCATGTGTTCATTGAATAAGAACCATGTCAAGTAAAAACAAGCGCTTTCGGGACCACGCGGGGTCCCTTCATCAGGCTTAACATTGACTATGTTAAGCCTGATGAAAGGACCCTGCGTGGCCCCGAAAAAAGCGCTTGTTTTTTACTTGATGTGGTTCTTAATACACTACAGACATTCCAAAAACATGTGTGATAGTTTGGGGAATATAGCACAATGGTAAGCCCTGAAGCCGACTTTAACATAAAAGGACAGTCTTTATTCATTCAAAAGGTCAACAGTCCATGAACATCACAAACTAACTTGCTTTTCTTCAGCATAAACGAAGCATAACAGTTGATTGGACTCTCATTAACACATCATGTTTTGGTCTCACCGACATCGGGCTGTCCCATACACTCCCAGTGTTATAGTCCCAGGACTTTCCCTGGATATACCGTCCTCAGCAGCTTCCCTCAGCTCCAAGACTTTTGGTATTCACCCTCGTGGGTCACTGTCCCTCTTTGCCCCCCCGACAGGGATCTCAGGGTCACCGACCCTCTTTACCTCTCTAGCCTTCCTGGCTGTGTCCCTTGTGCTCATGCACGCAGCAGAGTCTGCCTGTCGTCGTGTGCCTCTTGCACACCCACAACTCTTCTCTAAAGCACTGGGCTGGCTTCCTAATAAGGCTGCTCTCAGCCACCAGTTCAGCCCAACCTGGCCACTGGCAACACCTGGCCCCAGGACTGGAGATCCCATCCCACCATAGTCTGGAAAACCTGGAAGGAATTGAACAGCCAGTTCCTCCTCTCCAAAGGTATTCACATTGTGGAACCTCTCAAACCCTCTGGCTGAGAGTCCTGGGCGCCAAATTTGCCATACTACACCGTGGCATTGCCATGCACTGCCACACATGACATACATTACGTTTGTGCATCATCCCCATCACAGTCCCCTCAAAGTTCAGTTTTATTTCTCCTATTAAAAAAAATATATATTTTTCCTTTTTCATTAGCGCCTGCCTATTACTTTTTAGAGGGGGGATCCCATCATGTCTGTCACCTTTTTTACAACTTCTCAGTTCATTTCACACTCTTCACATTTTTGTGATTTCGACTATTATCGTTAAATAATTTTTCCCAATTTTTCTCCCCCTCTAATTAATATTTCTAAAATGTTATTCCCCAAAACCACTACCTAGGGTTGGCAGATTGAATCGTCTTCATCAGAGGTCTTGTGCAAATAACAAATAGAAGTACTCATGTGCTAGTCAAACAAGCACCGGCCACATGGTCTGCCCCTTTGTACAAGTTCCTATTCAGTTCTCTTAATGACATTCATTGCCACACAGCGCCCTGATGAAGGGGACCCTGTGTGGCCCCGAAACGTTGCTTTTTGTCTTGACATGCAGCGTCAACAAACAGACGTGATCTTCACTTTATTTTGGTGTGCTGGTGACATCTTTAACAAGTTTCAGTATTGGCGGCGCCATTCGCGGTCACTTCAAGCACACACCCTGACAGGGATACCCGGTAAGGAGCTCAGCAGGATTCTGGAATACGTGACATTCATTGCATCGCCATGCCCATGATGTAATCATGTACGTGACATCAACGACATCATGACATCCAAAAAAAGAAAGAAAAAACAATGTTTTCCTATTTATTCATATTATACATAAACAATTCAGTAGAATTCATTCACATATCACAAAAATACATCCAAACTCAACATCCTTATCCCACTCAACCAAATTCCTATAGAAGTTTCTGGGATCCAATATACTATATAAAATTTTTACCTTTTTTATACTTTAAATCAATATGTATTTTTCCCTCCTATATTTTTTTTTATTAATTTTTTTTTTCCTGAGGGTCAAAGTTCCAAATATCAAAAATATCAAAATCTAAAATGTTATCAAAGCAGTTCAATGAGTGAATTAAAAATTAACAATTTCCGATTCAGCGAAATGTAAGTGATAAAATTATTTCTTTCATCCCAAACTTACCCACAATCTTTAAATAAATATTCTCAGGCATGGTGCCCCGTGCTGAAGAAACGTTAATCTAACGAGTTGGTCTGTCGCTAATGTTTGGGAACCAATCAGCATGGTTCCTGATAATGTGAACATCATGTCAGCCAATCATGAGGCATACAGACAAGCAGAGTGACAGCTGGGGCCAGCAGGCTGCAGCTGTCAGGGTGCATTACAATGTCAAAAATAAATAAATAGTAAATAATGGGTAAAACAGCTTTTGGCTTAAAATAAAATAAGCCTGACATTACAGCTGAACAGCTCTGCATTCATTAATACATTATTAGATGTAAATACTATTACCCCAGGCTTTGTTTTTGTTGTTTTCATTACTTAAAGTTGAGTAGCTATTAAAAAAACCGCACAATTTAATATAGTTATGTCTTAAAGTTGAACTTCGGGAAGATAAAAACACAACCATTATTGCAGCTCTGTATTCATTAACACACCATTAAATGCAAGCAGCGCAAGTACCTCAATCTGACCTGGTACTGGTATCGGCCTCTTGAAGAAGAAGAAGAAGCAGCACAAGAGACCAATCAGTACATGTGCTGACAAGGAGCAGGCTGGAAGGAGGTGAGAGCAGAGCAGGGGCGTCTCGAGGCTGGGTGTCACCGGGTGACACCCCGCCGCGACGTCATCGCGCACGTGCGTGATGATGTCATCGCGCGTGCATGGCCATCTTGGTGGTACCTACCGGCGGCCATATTGGTGAGAGGAGGCGTTCACCCAGCGGGATAAGGTATGCTACGGGGTCCCCTCCTCTCTCCTGCAACTATGGGGCTCTTGGTCCATGACCGAGTGCCCGACTTTTGAGTAATTTTGGCGTCAATGCCTGACAGTCATTTTGGTGTCACTCCTCCAATGGTGTCTCCCGGGTGCGGGCCGCATTCCCCGCAACCCCCTAGTGAGGCCACTAAAGCAGAGTGACAGTGACTTTGCTGCTTTCCCTTTCACTGTCCAGTCACAGGCTGAAGACTGGTCCAGGACCAGAGAAAGTGGGTTGAACAATGCTGCCACAGCAGATTGGAGGTATTGCAGCAAAATCTGCTTCTTTATTTTATCATTTAATAGGATATTTTTTTCACTGGGGTTCTGCACATCTAATACATGTTCCTAGTCGTAACAGCAACATAAAATGATGTGCACAGGGGCAATGACCCGCACCAACCAATCAAAACTCTTATTTTCCCCAACTCGGTCGGCTTGCACACCTCACATCACCATTCCTCTCTGCAAACTACTTATTATAAGAGAGCGCTCGCAATCTATCGGTTTGCTAAGGCGAGAAGATTGGCCGCAGAATAATTGCATCTCTAGTCTGATGACACCGAGTGCTTTATTGCATTGATTTCTGTTGGGCAGAAAACGCCGGGTCCAATCAATAAAGTGCCTTCAGAAACTCTATTTGCACAGCCTGACGCGTAAACACTCTGGAGTCTGCTACTCGAAACCGTGATTACCTTTCTGGGGATCAATAACGAAATTTCCCTCCTTGTTTCCTTCAGAGATTTCATAAGTGACTCGGTCTCCGTCAGGGTCGAACGCTTGCACTGTGGCCACCAGGGTGTTGGGGGCTGCGTCTTCTGACACAAACGTCCGATATCTAGAAAATAGGACATGGAACTCTTAGCTCTTAGGTGCATGCAATTATTATTTCCTAGACATAATTGCTTTGGTGGCTTGTATAAGTAGATTGTACTCTCCAGGGGGGGCAAACATGGCATTTTCTACAGCATTTAAAATGAGACTTTCTATAAAGAGAAGGTGGAGATGGAATTATAACCTCTGGCTGCCTACAAGACTTCAGTTGCCACTTGTTCTGCAAAATTAGTAAATGCTCATTGAACCCAAAATGGTGTTTGGTAGATGCTGGAGAGTTCAGTCACCTAACAGTCTCTTCTATCTCATTTTATTGGTGAGATCTCTGCACTTAGTTCCCGCGTCTGTACACCTGATGTGCCCATTGTGAGGAGCTCCCACCATCCCTGTGCTGAGTTCCCGGGTCTGTACACCTGATGTGCCCATTGTGAGGAGCTCCTATCATCCCTGTGCTGAGTTCCCGGGTCTGTACACCTGCTGTGCCCATTATGAGGAGCTCCCACCATCCCTGAGCAGTGTTCCTGGGTCTACACACCTTATGTGCACATTATGAAGGGCTCCAATCATCCCTGCGCTGAGTTCCTGGTCTGTACATCAGCTGTGCCCATTAAGAGGGGTTCCCACTATAACTAAGCTGTATTCCTGGTTCTGTACACCTGCTGTGCCTATTATGAGGAGCTCCCACCATCCCTGTGCTGAGTTCCCGGGTCTGTAAACCAGCTGTGTCCATTATGAGGGGTTCCCACCATCCCCGAGCAGTGTTCCTGGATCTGCACACCTGATGTGCCCATTATAAGGAGCTCGCAACATCCCTGTACTGAGTTCCCAGATTTGTACACACCGGCTGTTGAGGAGAGCTGGAGGGGTTAAAGTAAATCTGTTGCTTTGGACGGAATTGGTAAAGCAGATGCTTGGTATAAGGCTAGGCATAGGAGTTATTTTGAGGTTCAGATTAGGGTTAGAGTTCCGTTGTGTTTAAGGTTAGCATTAAGGTTTAGGTTGAGTTTGAGATTAGTGTTCAGCATTAAGTTCCCTTTAAAGATAGGGTTAGGGGTCAGGGGCTAGGTTAAGTTCAAAATAAGGGTTGGTCATAAGGTTCAGCTTAACGTTAGGTTAAGTTTGACATCATTGTTGGACATTAAAATAAGGCTTCGGGTTAGGGTTCTGGAACACAATAAGGTCCAAGGCAAGTAGCATGTTTACAAGGAGCCCACATAGTCCTCCAGTAACCGGAAAGGTAAATATATATGACGGTGGAGGTGAGGGATTGAAACAAACTGCTCTGATAGGTAGTTGGCATGTAGGGCCAGTCATCCACTAACCACTGAATGTGCGGATACATGTGAATAGTGGCGGAGCTCTGGATTTGTAACTGGTATGGAGAAGACGAACTGTATTCTCATAATCTTATTATGTTCTATTTTGGGCCGTGGAGGCTGTGTAGAGCTTTGGGTGGGATGAAGCCTCCATTCTGAGGTCCACATCCTATCTGATAGTCAGACCTTATCATTAGTCTCAGCTGTCCACAGGCCTGTATATATGTGAAAAGGCTGAGCGCTTAGAAAACACTAAAAAGGTATCTGTTTGTTTTGGGGAATCCATTACGGGGATACCTTGTAGGTGTTTCGGATAAGATGTGTTGTTGGTTTAATGCTATGGATTTGCTCTATAAAGTCCTCCTGCTATGGACTGTGTTTGCAGCCTTGCTAATAATAAGTGCAGGACAGACCTGCTTGAGTGTTCCTGGAAGCCTTGTTCCTGGGGGCCACCAGCCTCCTCCTCTTAATCTATCTATCTATCTATCTATCTATCTATCTATCTATCTATCTATCTATCTATCTATCTATCTATCTATCCTTTCTGTATAGATATATATATATAAATAT